CACAATTGGCTAATCTTTTTTTTTTTTGGGGTAGAGACGAGGTCTCCCTATGTTGCCCAGGGACTCCTGGGACAAATAGTCTGTCACCTTGGTCTCCCAAGGTGCTGAGATTACAGGTGTGAGCCACTGCCCCTGGCCCTCAGGAGGCATTTTCATATTCAGACTACAGTCCTGAGGAGAGGTCTGAGGGAAGTTAATCTGGGAGTGGAGGGCCCACAGATGGCCTTGAAAATGGCTAACATCACCTGGGAAGACAGTGCAGATAGAAAAAAACTGCCTCTGGAGGTACAAGATAAAGGAGGAAGAGCTGCCAGGGAGATTGGTGAAAACCTGGAGAGTGGCAACATGGAAACCAGGAGGGAACAAAGATTTAAAAAGGAAGACATGGTCAAAAATACTTAGTGATGCTGAGAAAAGGAAATTATCCATTGGTTTGGTAACATGGACATCCCTGGGGACCTTGAGAAGAACATCTCTGTTGTCACATTGGAGGAGGCACCAGGTTGAAGTGGACTGAAGAAGGAACACGCAGGCAGAAGAGGAAGCTTGAAGAGCCAACGTGTATGTGAAAAGATGCACAGGGCTACCACTATTTAAAGAAATGCAGGGGAGGCAACAATGAGATGCCATTTCTTACCCATCTAATTGGCCAACAATCAAAATGTCTTATGGTAGGTGTTAAAACTGAAGTTTTGTCTGGGACCCCCCCCGAGTGACACAGATGAGGCATCCCAGAGACAGATCCCTGTAAGTAGAGTTTAAAAAGAAATGGTCCCCAGGGCGGTGACTCTTAGTCCCCAGAATCAGAGCAACAAGGCAAGAAGAGCCAGACAGTGAAGAAGAGAGGACTGGGTGAGGAGGTTCCTTTGGAATGTGTCGCTGCTCTGGGGTGAGGTCTCAGCACTTATGCCCCGTGGACAGGGGTGTAGGATGCAGCCTCCTCACAAGGTGAGTGCCTTGGTCAGCTCATGCTGCTGTAACAAATACCATGGACTGGGTGGCTTAAACAACAAATATTTATTTCTTACAGGAATGGAGGCTGGGAAGTTAAAGGTCAAGGTGCTGGCTGATGCAGTGCCTTCTGATAACCTGCCTCCTGACTTGTAGACAGCCACCTTCTCACAGGATCTTCACATGATGAAGAGATAGATCATCTCTCATCTCTCCTTATTTTTTTTATAATATTTTATTTATTTATTTATTTCGAGTCAGGGTCTTACTCTGTCACCCAGGCTAGAGTGCAGTGATGCAATCACAGCTCACTGCAGCCTCATCCTTCTGGGCTCAAGTGGTCCTTCCAAATCAGCCTCCTGAGTAGCTGGGAGCCCAGGCACACACCACCATGACTGGCTAATTTTTGTATTTTTGACAGAGATGGGGTTTCACCATGTTGCCCGCACTGGTCTTGAACTCCTGGGCTCAAGTGATCCTCTTGCTTTGGCCTCCCAAAGTGCTGGGATTACAGGGTTGAGCCACCATGCCCAGTCCATATCTCTTCTTATTAGAGCACTAAATCCCATAATGAGGGCTTTATCCTTTGGACTAATTACCTCCCAAGGGCCCCATCTCAAAACACTATCACGTTGGAGATTAGGGGTTCAACATTTGAATTTGGGAGGGACACAAAAAGTTAGTCCACAGCAATTAGCAAGCCTTCTGGGGAGGTTTGCTGTGTGTTCAGCAGAGCTAGAGGCACCGAGAAAACACACTGGAGAAAGCTAAAGTGATAACCAGCAGCGGGAATTTTGTCTCATTTCTGATCTCAGGAGGGACACGTCTTAGTCAGTTTGAGCTGCCATACCAACATACCATAGACTGGGGTCCTTAAGCAACAGAAACTTATTTCTCACAGTTCTGGAGGCTGGGAAGTTCAAGATCAAGGCACCAGTGGATTCAGTGTCTGGTGAGGGCTCCCTTTCCTGTTCATAGAGAACCATCTTTTCACTGTGTTCTCACATGGCAGAAGAGGCCAAGAATTTCTCTGAGGCTAAGGATCTCTCTGGGTTTTTTTTTTTCCCCATAAGGGTACCAATTACATTTGTGGGGGCTCCACCTTTGTGACCTAATAACTTTGCAAAGGTTCCACCTCCTAATTCCATGACATAGGGGATTAGGTTTCAAAACATGAATTTGAAGGGGATACAACATTCAGTCTATGGTAGGAAGGTTTAAATTCGTCAGCTTTTTATTTTATGTAGGACTTTTGCTGATATTAGTTTTTAGCTTAAGGAAATTATACTATTAGTTTGCTCACTGTGTTTTCAAAAATCATGAACAGGTGTTGAGTTTTAGCAAATGTTTTTTCTGCATCTATTGAGAATCTGAATCTGAAACTAAGCAGAGCCTTTGGAAGTCTCGTGGTGCTGAGGAGGCAAAAATAAAATTTCAAAGCCCGCCGATGGGGAGGGACATCAGTGAACACTCAGACTTTCAGCTAAGACCCGAGAAGATATGGGCACAGAGATCTCAAAGCACCTCAGTCCCTGGTTGGATTAAGGCAATTTTCTCTACTGTCTGCCATAAGCAAAGGGTTATAACATAATCCTAAACTGTCTATAATTTTTCTTAAACAATGTCTGATATTCAATCAGAAATTACCAGGGATATCAAGAGGTCAAAGCAATTGACTTGGAATCAAAGGAATAAAAAAAGCCCACAAGAAACCCAGATACTGGATGTATCAGAGTTTTAAATAATCATGGTTAGCATGTTTAAGAATATAAGTGATAAGATCGAGAATTTCACAGAGAACTAGAATCTAATGTAATAAAAAGAAGATAAATTATTCTCTAAGCTTATCTGGAAATTTCATTTATACTCTCCATCACCCTCTTTTGCCAAAGTATTTTAAAGAAAATCTGTGAATATCACTTCATCTGTAAACACTTAATGATGTCCTATATTTTTTTTCTGGTGCAAACATATGGGTGCTTTATGATCATTTCAAACCTGTACATATATGCTTTCACATGTTTGGGTATATTTTTGTACATTTTACAATTAAATAAAAAGAGTGGTCCATATTCACTGTCATCATTTCCTGTAAACACCCCATCCCTACCAATTCCATCCCTCCACCCTCTTCAAATATTTCATGCAATGGAATACATATTTTTTTCTTAAGAGACAGAGTCTTGCTATGTTGCCCAGGCTAGAGTGTAGTAGCTATTCACAGGCATGAACGTAGCACACTGCAGGCTCTTAACTCCTGCGCCCAAGCAATTCTCCTGCCTCAGCCTTTCAAGTAGCTGTGACTACAGGCATATGCCACCACACCTGGCTGGAATATTTTTTAAGTAAACTTTTTATTAAATTATAACATATATAGAGAAATATGCACACTGGCAGACAGTTTGCTGAATTTTCATAAAGTAAACACACCTTTGTAACCATCACCCAAATCAAGAAACACAATGTTTTCTCACTCCTTTTTGTTGGAGACTTTCAGGGGCATCTAAACCTTTTCAGTTGCAAGTGTCCAGCAAATATTTATTCAAGTAATTAATAAAGGAATACTGGCTGGTTTTCATTTTAGTTCCATGTTGAAACTTGAACCAGCAAGCGACCCTTTCTCGGTGGACCTCCATCAAAGGCATGAAGGCCAACTCTGAATGGGAGCAAGGAGTGGTTATGGCATCTGCAATTAATTTCTTCAAAAATAAAGTCAAGGTAGATGTAGGCTTATAACTACAAATTCGTGAAGGGACACTTTGAGTGTGAAGAAGACAGATAGGCAGCATTTGGCAAAGGAATGATTCTTTTTTGTATAGTCATTCTTTGGCTGCTCTTCTTTGCTTACATCCAGTCTTATTTATTATTTATTTTAAAACGACAGCTTTGTTGGTGTGGTTCATATACCACACAATTCACCATTTAAAGCATACACTTCAGTGATTTTTTAGTAAATTCACAGATATGTGTAACCATCAACAAAGTCATTTTTAGAACATTTTGTCTCATCCCTTTATAAAACCTCCTACCCATTAGCAGTCACTCCCATCCTCCCACAACCATCTTCCCTAGTCCTAGGAGGTCACAAATCTGTTTTTTATCTCTATAAATTTACCTATTTTGGGTATTTTACATAGAATCATATAATCTTTTGTGAGTAGCTTCTTCCACTTAGCATAATGTTTTCAAAGTTTATCCATGTTTTAGCATGTATCGGCATTTTATTCTTTGTATGGCTGATATTATTTCATTTCACTGAAAACAGTTGATTTGACTGAGCATGATGGGTTATGCCTATAATTCAGTGCAGGAGTGTGTGCTTCTCATGGAGCGGGAGGGCTGCAGGAAATGTTTGGAGTGCAGAATGGGGTCATGGTGTGCATTATCAGAAGGGAGGTACACAGAAGTACTGAATTGAGGCTTTGGGAGCTGCTGGAAGCTGGGTGGCAACTGATATGAATAAGGATGTGAGGAGTAGATACATGGTTAGCTGCCTACCCGACTTCTCCCCTAGGCCATTTCTCCTTCCTAAAGGAGTCTTGAGGTGGATTAGCTATCCATCTTCAAGCCTTGTGCTTGTCCCTTCTCTAGTCCTAGGGAGTGAGTCCTGATTGGGTAAGCCTTCATGAAAATACCGTTTTTCTGTCCAAAGTTTGGTTTAGACATAGGCAACTGATGCAATTCTGTCCAATGGGAAATAAGAAAATATCTGTTGGGGGCTTTTGGGAATATTTTATCATCTTCAAAAAAGACACAAGGAAAAGATAGTTTTCTACTTCTAGAAATGACTGTTTCTGATGTAATGCTTGGAACGCCTGCAGCCATCTTGGGACCATGAGGCAACCCAGATTGATAGGTTGGCATGCCGGGGCTGGCAGAATAAAAAGATGGAAGGAGTCTGCATTCCTGATGATTGTATTGAAGTACTTAATCAATGGCAGCCCTGGAGCTGCCATTTTGTGGTGGAAAACTATACATGCCCTTATAAACTATTTTGAGTTGGACTTTCTGTTATTTGGATCCGTAAGTGTCATAACTGACACCATGAGGCCGGAGGAGGTTGGAAAATGTACATATATCTTCAGACATGCTGACATTCCCAACAACAGAGGGACTTGCCACTGAATGCATATATAGAGATAAATATATAGATGTGTGTGTGTGTTGAGGTGTGACTGTGTGTATGCATACATTTGTATATACATTATCTCTAGAAGGATTCTAAGAGACTGGTAACAATTCTTACTTAGAGCGGCATATGTTTAGAAGAGAGACATACTTATCACTATTTGCCTGTGTGTTTCAATATGTGTTGAAAGTAGTTAAGAACCTAACTGACATTGTGGAAAATAAAATCAGTGATGGAAGGAGCGAACACAGGAAAAGCTTCTAGGAAGGCAAGCAACAGGCCAAAGAGGTGAAATTAATAAAAGGAAGGATGGGAATTCCTGAAGAGCAAACCAGAAAGCCATCATAAAAATGGAAAGAAAGTAACAAGCAAAGGCATAAAATAATATTTTTTCTGAGACGAGAAAGGATGATCAAAAGAGCTGAACTGTGTTTCAACAAAACATATTGGAAAATATAAACAATATTAACAATCTGATATTTTAATGCATCCTGGTGAAGATTTCATGTTTTGGGTAAATGAGAAAAGAAATTGAGTCTGAACTTGTATGTTCTCCTTCATCAAGAAAATGGGGTGAATACTGCAGCATCAATTCTTAGGTAGATGTTATGCCCTTATTGTTCTGGGAGACTGAGGGGTATGTTCTGAAAGGAAGATGCCTTAATCAATCAGACATGCTCGGGAAATGCTGTGGCCTTCCTTTGGAAATTTACAGAGCTTGTTAATTCAGTAAAAAATGATTTATCTTTATTTATATCCACATTTTAAAATAAAAATTTTAAATTTTAAATTTTATTTTATGCAGAGATAGGGTATCACTCTGCTGCCCGGGCTCATTTTAAACCTGTGCTCAAGAGATCCTCCCACCTCAGGGTCCCAAAGTGCTGAGGTTATAGGCATGAACCACTGTGCATGGCCTTCCAAGAAAAAATTTTATGCTTTTATTAATGTCCACAGAAAAGTATCTCAGAAACTGCTACTTTGGGAATTATTCAGCAGCAGAGTTCCAGGATTGTGACCCAAAAATTCTTGGCTCCACTAAGTTGTTCATATGTAAAGGTAACAGGACTTTGTATATTTATATTTAGTTGTAGCCAAGATATGCAAAGTCTTAGACAATGTAAAGTATTATACACCTCCTCTTTAAGGTTGCTGCCAACATGAGCTCTAGGGCTGAATTAGTGTGCAGCGTTCATTTAGAGATGGGAATGACCAGAGGTAGTAGAGTGTGGTGGAGGGACTAACAGGCTAGGAGTCAGCAAATCAGATATTAAACACAATGCAAAATGCATTGGCTACTAGTCATGTAATTTCAGCTGGTTATCTTAACTTTTCAGATCTCGGTTCCAACCCCTAACAATGAGAATAATTCCTGCTTCCTTAGACAGCTGGAGGATTAAGTAGGATAAAAGATATGAAATTACACTCAAAGGGATAAGATATGTATTATTTCAATTTGAGTTCCCCAAGTAGTGAGATAAGGGTTTCAAGTACAGGTAGTTTATTTGGGAGGTGATCTGAGGAAATACTGGTTGGGAGTGGAGAAGGGAGACAGAGAAGGGAAGGCAGTGGATAAACGTGTGCTCTTAAGCCAGTTACCACTGTAGGCACCTGGGGCTCTGTCCGCTGCAGAACTCTGGGACCGAGTATAGAACACACACCTTTGAGTTATCCCCATGGGGGATCAGGGAGGTGGGATATCTACACACCCATTCCCATCAGTATTGACGTGGGCTGCTGGCGGTGGGTGTTAATTCCCTGTGGCTCCTAGCCTGCCACCAGCTGAGGCAGGGAGAGCTCCAGCAGCCCAAGGGGAGCTCTGAGAAAGGAATTGCAGGTGCAGGCAGTTGGAAGTCATGGAAATTGTTGGTTCTGATGGGATTCAGGTGGAGCACTGACATATCTATTACTGTAACTATCCTTCAAGTTCTGTTACAGCATACTAATTATCATCATCAAAATAATATTTGGATAGAGATGCTTTAGTGTTTCCCCAAATCTCTTTTCCAAACACTGTCTCAAAACCTACCTTGTCCATGGAAACGACTCCAGCCCACGCTCAAGTCTGAACTCCTGTGGCCCAGTGGCGTGGCATGGCCTCGGCTAGCCCTTCTTGTCTGTTGTCTTGTCCTCCTTGATGCCCTCTCCTGCCCCTCTCCCACCTCTCACCTAGCACAGGATTGGGAGCACACAGATGCTCAAGAGGGACTTGTTAACCAATAGAATTAAATTCAGGATGCGACATGAGCTTTCACTCATATATATTCCCATTTCTATCTAGAAATGCCATTTTTGAGCCAGATACCTCCTGATGAGAATGACATGTTAGGGAGGCCTGTATAAATAAAACTCATGAATGATAGCCAAGCCTCTTCTTAGAAATTAGATTCCATCTTTCCCCCCAGCAAAATGTTCAGTGGAACTGCTCACATGGAGCAAAATCAACTGGCCTGGGTTTCTCCTCTGCCACTTTGGAGCAACTCTCTTGGGACATTTGTGTTTTAAAAACATCTTCTTATCTCAGAATCTTCTCTATTCCCAGTTGCCAACCCCTCATACCACTGGTCCTCAGCCCCTGGGTGCTGGCCCCTTGCAGCCAAGACCAGGGCTCCTTCAGCCTATGTGGGTTTGGTAGACTGTTCAGGTATCTCATTCCCACCCCACTGCCCCCCACCTCCATGCCAACCCAAGTTGGGGAGCTTTCAAAATTGCTTCTTAGCTGACCTTCCCAACCGAAGACAGCCCATTGGCCTGAGACCTGCTGTGAGTGAGGGGTCAAGAGAGAGACAGGCTCTTCTCGGCAAGAATATCTGTCTTCCCCTTCCCTCCTAAGCTTGACATCTTGAAACCATATTCGCTTATGGGAAACAATCAAGGGCCTTGATTTTTCCATTGTCATCTTTTTTAAAAAAATTGGTTCATGGGAGGTGAAAGCCTTAGATAGAAAAACTCAAAACAGTGCCCAGAACAACCCACTGCACGTTCTCAAAAACACTAGTGATCTGCCTGCAGCTTAATTTTTTCGATAATACACAACAGAGCTGTCTGCATTTTTTCCCACTCAATTGAGTGACTTTTTGATGGATTTGACTGGTTGTTTTGGCATCGCGTAGGCACAAACTTGAGCTGGGGCTCCACAGAGGCGGCGAAATCAGACATGAATAATAATCATAATAAACCTTCACAACATTTGAAAATTTCCAAAGTGCTTTTCTGCACATTTACCTCGTTCCATCCTAAAGCGCCCTGCGACATAGACGGAATTGGTATTACGGCGCCCGTTGTGCCAATGGGGGACAGAGAGGCCCAGAGATGGGCGCTGGCTTTTCCTGGCCCTGATCAGAACTGGACTCCTCATCTAGGGCTCTTTCCACACTGGGAGAGAGCGAGAGAGAGGATATCTGGTGGGGCCTGCAGGGCAGGAGGCTGGGGCAGAGACTCTTCAGCACGTTAGCTTGGGTAGGGTCAGTAGGGTTCAGGGAATCAGGTTCTGAAGAGGAAAGCAAACATCAGGGCGTTGGACACCAGCCTGGGACCACGCCCCTGATGAGATGGGAGCCAGAACTAGGGCTTGCAGGCACCACATGTGAAGAGGTCTGCAAGGCGCCTTACTTCCTCATCTCCGAGGGCTGGTGCCAGGCATAGCTGTGAGGTGGCACACTGTCTCCAGTGCCCCTTCTGGGCTCCCTGCTCTAGTGGGCTGGCCTTTCTACCAGCTCCACAGGCTCCAGGCACATCTCCTACTCATTCTTGGCCCCAGGCTCCCTGGCCCTGGACCACTGTTTCCATCTGCCTCATCCCCCGGGGAGCTCCCTGTCCCATCTCCCCTTTCCTGGGATCCAGCTCTCTGTGGATGTAACACACTGCTTGCCAGAGAACATCTCCCAAGGCCGCAGGTAAAATCTGTTTGTTTTTACAGGGGCCTATTCAGGATGGTGCTCCCTCTCAGCTTAGCCCAAGCTGTCATCCTGAGATGTGTACTTCCCATTGACCTTGCCTTGGAGGACTTGCTCAAATCCTGCTTCCTCCAGGAAGCTTCCTTTGAGAAGCTGAATTGATGTGGTTGTGGTCCCCAGCTTCTCCTTTATATTCCTCCTCCTCCTCCTCCCCCTTCTCTTCCTCCTCTTTTCAATCTAGAGTCATGAAATGCAGCACTAGTGGTGGAGCTCCAGGCATCAGCTGGGGCATGTTTGAGTGAGGTTGTGAGTTCATCTGGGAGCTCCTGAAATTCATAAATGGAGGATTTGGGTTTGTGATATGTGGCACTGAATTGATTACTTTTCTGTCATTTTGAGATGTCTCATCTTCAACTCTCATCTCCCAGTAGACAAGGAGTGTGTTCCCCATCTTGGAAGGGATATCTAAATGGGGTGCTGTTGAGTGGGGCGGAAGATGGGAGAAGGGAGCAGACATGGGCAGAGGAGCAGCTGCTGCTCCTGATCAAGCTCCCTGCACAGGCTTCCTCCAGGGACCTGGAGGAGACACACCCCCTACATGTCTCCTCTGCTTGGGGGTGGGGTCCCCTCCTGACCTCCTCCCATGGTAGCCCCCATGCCCCTAGGCTGCAGATGCCCTTTCTGTCTTCCATACACTCAGGGTGGCACAGACGGCTGCTGCTAAGTCAGCACTGGGTGCCCAGTTGGGACGCTGAGGATAAACATCACTGGCCACCATAGTCCAACTCAGGGCACAGGCTCCAGGGTGTTTGGGATGTGTCCTTGTCCCCCTGGGGATTATGGGGGTTCTGGGCCCTCACCACCCCATCCTACTCCAATTTCCCTTTGAAGGGCCTGACAAAGGCAGGGTCCCCCTCCCTTCGCCCTTCTGTACAAATGTGAATCATATTTCATTTTATGGCATTTTCTTTCAGTGAAAAACACATAGTTTGACCAATTAAAGCCTCTTTTGGATCAAGCCCCTGACAGAATCAGACAGACAACTGAAAAGGACGTCCTGTTCCTATGTTTTTTTGTCTCTCTCTCCTTTTTTTCTTTTTTTCCCCTTGGTCACAGTTCAGATTTAGAGGGAAGCAGTGATGGGAATAAACTGTGTCCACTCTGGCCTCTTGGCGGCTGTAGGAATCCAGCGCCCCCCAGGCCAGAGAGACAGGAATTACTTGGAGAGCTCTGAGTGAGCTCCCAGGCTGGGAGAGGAAGGTGGGAAAGGGGCTGTCTCCTAGGGAGCCCCAGAGTGGATGTGAGGAGAAGGGTCCACTCAGGAAGAGCAGAGAAGGCAGGAGGGAGAGGCCAGAGTGGTCAGAGGCTCCCCTCACATGCTGGCCCTGCTTCAGGCACGTGTCAAACCTGGTGGAAGGAGATGCTACAGGTATGATGTTAAGGAGCATTGTGACAGTGCCATGGGTAGGGCCACCCTCACCATCCTATGAGCCCTGCAGACAGTGGCTTAGTGGATCCTGGAGGTGAGGCTGGGGCAGAAGAGGAAAAACAAGCTGGATGTGGCATGGTAAAGGTAGCTGATGGGTTATCTTGTGAGACCCTCTGGGGACTCTCAGAATCACTGAACAAGTGAAGAGGAGGTGTCTTTCATGAGCAGCATCAGTAATATATACCTTCTTACTGCCAAGGGAACCCTACTTGTACCACCAGAAAGCTGTAGAGACCTGGAGAAATTGGATCATGGGAGATGGGAAGGAAGGAATAAAAGTAAATTTGTTGGATGTTTATGCACCTGGCATGGTGTCAGGTCTGGATTAGGACAGCAGCTTCAGAGGTGGAGAGAAGTGAATGGTCCCAGGGCTAGTCAGAAGTTGAATGGAGAGGACATGATCAATGTGGGAGTGATACGATGGCCACTTCTTTCAGCTTGTGCAATTGGTGTGGGACCCTTGCTCTCAGATCCTGCTACTGATACAAGGAATGTAGCAGAGAGAGACACAAAAGCGAACCCTCTTCCTGTGGGATTCCAGCCTAGGAGGGAAGACGGTGAACAGGAAGCGACAAGTGTGGTGCGTGCTACTGCATGGTGAGGAAGAGGCCCCTAGGTGGGTTTGAGCATCTGGCTAAGTTCCTGGAAGGCTCTGCAGGGTCTCTAGGGATACCAAGGAATCCAGATGGGAGGGAAGTATAAGACAGAAGGAGGAAAGCAGGACTTGGAGCTATTCTTTCACAGTTGGCAGGGTTGCTGAGTGGGCATTGCTGGCCAAAGCCTGTAGCACTTTACCCAGACAGTGGAGGATTAAGGTTGCAGGTTTGGACATGCTGAGTCAGGTCCCCGGGAGACCTCCATGTGCTGATGTCCAGTGGGTGGTCAGATAGATAAATGTGGCGTTCATCAGAGGACTCATAGCGGCTTATTCAGGTTTGAGTCCATTAACATATCTGTGGCAGTTAAGGTCATGGGATAGGGTTGTCCAGTGAAAAGAATGAGCCCTGGAAATGGCTGACCTTCCTTACTCCCCCCGTCCCTGCCACCTATCTCTTTGATAAAACAGTACAAGACTAACTAACAAAGTTGGGGTGATAAAAGATGCACATGATTAACATTCAAACAATACAAAAGAGTATACAGTGAAGAGTGAGTTCCCCTCTCCCTCCTGATCCCTACAAACCCCTACTTCAACCCCAGAGATGTAACACTTTCTTACATGTTCTTTTAGAGATGTTCTATGTTTATGATGTAACTTTATATATATGTTAGCACACTACATTTACCTTTCTACATCTTTCTTCTAAAATTTGCTAAATATCTTGGTGATCATTCCTTATTAGTACTAAAAATCCACCTCATTCTTTTATATAGCTGGGTCATATTAATATAATGTCACATGACATACATGTTCCATAATTTAATTAACCAGTTCTGT